GCTCTTCTCCCTAAATTACCCCAAATCCCGTGGGTTTCTCCAGGGGTTCAAGCTCCCTCTGCTCTTTCTCCCTTACCAGATCTGTCCGCGCCTTTCCTGCTCACACACCTGCTATGGTTTCCCATTTCCCGCCACCCATGGAGCTGAGCTTCAGGTGTTCTGCGGGGATGGTCTCGTGGAGCCAGCAGAGTAAGTGACTAATAATGATAATTTTCAAAAATCGTTACCACTGATTTTTAAAAAATATATTTTATTGATTTTGTACAGAGAGGAAGGGAGAGAGATAGCAAGTTAGAAACATCGATGAGAGAGAGTCATCAATCAGCTGCCTCTTGCACACCCCCTACTGGGGATGTGCCCGCAACCAAGGTACATGCCCTTGACCGGAATCGAACCCTTCGGTCCCCAAGCCGGTGCTCTATCCACTGAGCCAAACCGGTCTTGGCGCTTACCACTGACTTTTAGAGAGAGTGGGAAGGGGGAGGGGGAGGGAGAAAAACATCGATGTGAGAGAAGCTGGGCAATTGGTTGCCTTCCACACGCACCCTCATCGGCCATCGCTCTAACCATTGGTCTGGTGATGTTTTAGGCCCTAAGTCCAACCCTTGATGTGGATCAGCTCTTGGATCCACGGCTGGCTGCACAATGAGGAGATCTTAAGCCCAAGGCCAGTCTCCTGGTCTGCAGCCCTGGCTGGCTGACTGCAGAGGGAGAAGCCATTTATTTACTGCGCACTTCAGATTTATGCCAGGGCGGAGGGGTTCCCGACTCACCCTAACCCCAAGCTCTGTGCCTTCAGCAGGCAGCAAACAGGCGGGAGGCTGGGGCGCCCCCTGGTGGCCACATCGGGACATAGCGGCTAGAGCTCTTTTTTTTTTTTTCTTTTCAAAAAAAATTTAAAAACATATTTTATTGATTTTCTACAGAAAGGAAGAAAGAGGGATAGAGAGTTAGAAATATCGATGAAAGAGACACATCGATCAGCTGCCTCTTGCACACCCCCTACTAGGGATGTGCCCACAACCCAGTAGGTGCCCTTGACTGGAATTGAACCTGGAACCCTTCAGTCCGCAGGCTGATGCGCTACCCACTGAGCCAAAGCAGTTTTGGTTTTGGAAGAGGCTGGCGCTCTGACTCCTCTCCTCAGCCTCACTTCCTCCTTTGGGGCGGGGCTCAGGTAAAGATCCTGATCAGGTACAAGCCCCAGGTTGGTGGGGGGAAATGAGCATAACTAGCTGGGGTGTGTGTGTGTGTGTGTGTGTGTGGTGTGTGTGTGTCAGTTTTCATGGCTCCTACTCCTCTCACCAGCCTCTTCAGAAGATTTCCAGAACAAAATTTAAAATTTTTAAAAATATATTTTTTATTGATTTCAGAGAGGAGGAGAAAGGGAGAGAGAGAAAGAAACATCAATGATGAAAGAGAATCATTGATCAGCCGCCTGCTGCATGACTTCGACTAGGGATCAATCCTGTCAGGGGATGGAGCCCTGACTGGGACTCCAACCGTGACCTCCTGGTTCAAAAGTCGAGGCTAGACCACTGAGCCACACCGGGCCAAAGTTTAGCATTTTAAAGGTAATGCATGTGCATGATTTAAAAAAATACAAACATTACACAAAGATATACAGAGAAACACGAGACTGCCTATCCCACTAACCCCCAGTCCCAACCCCTCGGGCCCCGCCCGCTCCCCACAGAGGCCACAGCCGTGACCAGTGCTTCCTTTGGAAATATTTGGATACAAGTCTCCCCAGAATTATTGCCCTCCTGCTTTTTATATTATGAGTCTCCCAGATCTGCTTTGGCCTTTTAAAGAGTTGTATAGTATCCTACTGTGTGAATGGACACTCACTTAAAGTCCCCAATTTGCCGACATTGAGGCTGTTCCCAATTTAAAAAAAAAAATTTAAATTTATTTTTAGAGAGAGAGAGAAGGAGAAGGAGAGGGAGAGAGGGAAACATTGATTTCTGCATGCAGCCCGGGCATGCGCTCTCACCAGGAATAGAACTGGCAACCTTTTGGTGCACGGGTCGATGCCCACCCACTAGCCACGCCGGCCAGGGCTATTTTCAGTTTTGTTTTTGCAATGACCAAAAATGTCGTGATAATGTCCTCTTCCTCCCTCTCCTTTTTAAAAGTACATTTTAAATTTTGAAGTAATTTTAGATTTACAGAAAATTTGCAGAGACAATACAGAATCCCTGAATAGCCCTCACCAAGCTTTATCCATTGTTAGCATCTTACATACCACTAGAGGCCTGGTGCACAAAATTCGTGCACGGGGGCGGGGTGGGGTGGGATCCCTCAGCCTGGCCTGCACCCGCTCTCAATCTGGAACCCTTTGGGGGATGTCTCACTGCAGGTTTAGGCCCGATCCCACATTGGGCCTAAACTGGCAGTCAGACATCCCTCTTGAAACCCGGGACTGCTGCTCCTAACTGCTTGCCTACCTCCCTGATCACCCCTCACCACTCTGCCTGCCTGCCTAGTTGCCCCTAAGTACTCTGTCTGCCTGCCTGATCCCCCCTAACCGCCTCTGCCTCAGCCCTCACTGCCACGGCTTCCTCCGGAAGGACATCTGGAATGACCTCCGGAAGGTCGTTCAGTTGTCCAGTCTAATTAGCATATAACGCTTTTATTATTATAGACGATTCCTTTGTCAAAACTAGCAAATTAACCTTAGCATATACTATTAACTAAACTCCAGGTTTTATTTTATTTACCCACTAAGTGTTTCTCTGTTCCAAGATCCAACCCAGGATTCTGCATTGCATTTAACCCATCCGTTGTTTCTGATGTGTCTGTGTGCATCTGTCTGTGGGAAGCAGCCGGAGGGGGAACGGATGGTCGAATGGCATTTGCACTTTGATGGTGAGAGTCTAGAAAACTGCCACAGGCCTTCCGCCTGTGCTGCGTGGGTCTGCTTGTTTCCCCTCAGCAGTGCCAGCACAGTGTATTTGCGAATGTTTAACCTATTTTCGTTTTTTATCTTTGCCAAACTAGCTGGTGGAAAGTGGTACCACCTGTGGTTTCCATTTGCATTTCTTTTCCAGGAGTGAGGAGCCGGGTGCTTTGTTGGCATGTTTCCGTGAACTGACTGTTCATGTTCTTTGTCATTTTTCTATAGGTTATTATTATTATTTTTTTGCTTAATTTATAAGAGCCCCTTACATAATATGGAAATGATTCCTGGGTATGAAAAACAGCAACGATCTGAATGAGTCTTTCTTTTCTTCCAAACGATTTTCTAGCTAGTTGCTGAGACATAGGAAAGTTCAGTTCTTTCTTTTGGGTCTTCTATATATAAAACCATACCACCAGCAGGTAATATTATTAGGTTTAATGGTTTCTGATAATGCCAACCAAAAATTATAAGGAAACTCAGACTCCACAGAACGACTGGCCGGGCTTTTTAAAAAATGCAATATTATGAAAGGCAAAGACACACGGAGGAAAGTTCCAGAGTAAAGCAGATGACAGCGACTTGATGAATAGTGTGTGAGACAAAAGGCCCCTTTGTTACAAAGGACTTTATCAGAACAGCTGGCAAAATCTGCTTGAGGCTTGCAGATTAGATAACAGTGCTTTATTGATGTCCGTTTCCTGATTTTCATAACTGTACCATGACTATGTGAGAGAATGTCTTTGTTTTTAGAAAACACAAACTCAAATATTTATGGGAAAAGAGACATCATTTCGGCAAGTTTTTCATAAAGGTAAAAAGAGAGGGCGGGAGGAAGAGAGGGAAGGAGGAAGTGAGGGAAGGAGGGAGGGAGAAGAAGAAGAAGAAGGAGGAGGAGGAGGAGGAGGAAGAGGAGGAGAAGAAAGAAGACAGCAAAGCTGGTCAAAGTTAACATCTGTGGAATCTGGGTAAAGAGTGCCCAGGGATAACTTGTGCTCACCTTCCAATTTTTCTGTAAGTCTTACATTATGTCAAATATAAAAGTAAAATCCAAAAAAATATGAAATCACACCACATAATATTGTTATTTTAGCTGAAGCCGGTTTGGCTCAGTGGTAGAGCATCGGTCTGCAGACTGAAAGGTCCCAGGTTCGATTCTGGTCAAGGGCATGTACATTGGTTGTGGGCACATCCCCAGTGGGGGGGAGGGGTGTGTGTGTGTGCAAGAGGCAACTGGCCGATGTTTTCCCTTCCTCTTTGTTAAAAATCAATAAAATATATTTAAAAAATTGTTATTTTAATTATTTTTGACCTTATATAAACAGTGCTTTCACATGATTCAACCTATACACTCTCTTTCTCTTGTCTAATATTTAAATCCCTTGTTTTTCTTGTCTAATTGCATGGTCAGTGCCGCCAAAACAATATCAAACACTCGATAGCGGTTCTCTTTACCTTGTCCTGAATTTGATGGCCTTTTCAGAACTTTTCCCATTAGATCCATTAGTATGGTGAATTTTATTGACAAACTTCCAAATAGTGAACCATCCCGGCACCTCAGGTATAAGCCACTTCTGAGGTGACATATTTTAAAAAGTGTAACTCGGTTTTCTTCGCTAAAACATCATTTGGGAGTTTCGAACCATCACCCTACAGGAAGAGGGGCCTGCCGTTTTCTTACTGTGCTACCTTGGCCGGTTCTTGGTGTCAGAGAAAACCCACTCTCCACACCTGATTCCAACCTCTCATTTCACAAAGTAAACCGAGGCCCCGGGGGGAGAAGTGACCTGTGCAGGCCACCCCCCAGCCGGGCCTGGTCTCCAGTCCCCATGTCTGTGGGATGAGGGCACCACGATCGGTAGAGGGGACTCCAGTCCCAGGCCGGCCATACCGCAGTGGGCGTTTATGGACCCGGTCCCTGTGTGCAGAATGAGCTCAGGACGCGCGGGGAGAGAGCACGGACGGCGCCCCCTTTGTTTCCGTTCGGACGGTGGGTCTACAGCTGGGCGCCGATGGGCATGGACTGGGCACCTCTCCCAGCGCGGGCACCGAGGACCGTGCTGGCCGTCCCCCGGCCGGAGCCGGTCCTGGGCGGGCGGATCACCCGCGCGCGCGCCGCCGGCAGCCCCCCGAGGGGGTGGGGCGCGAGCGCGAGCGCGGGCGGGGGCTGGGCCGGGGGCGGGGGCTGGGCCGGTGCCGGGACCCCGAGCGGGGCCGGGGGTGCGGCTGTCTTCGCTGGGCGTCCGTCTCGGCTTCCAGGGCTTTGCTGCCGGGAAGGAGGGGCCGGTGAGAACGTGGACCCCGGCCCCCAGGACCCCCCGGAACTCTCCTCCTTTCCTGGGAACCCCAACCCTCAGGGTCCTCATCCTTCCTCCACCCCCCACCCCCCACCCCCGGCCACGCCCGGGTCCGCTTCCCCGAAGCTCGGCTCCAGATGCCCGGTCCCTCCCTCGATGCTTTTTTTCCCCGGCGCCCCCCCCATTACCTCTCCAGGACCCCCCCACCTCCCCAGGGCGCCCCCCATTACCTCCCCAGGACCCTCCCCCCACCTCCCCAGGGCGCCCCCCATTACCTCCCCAGGGCGCCCCCCATCACCTCCCCAGGGCGCCCCCCATCACCTCCCCAGGACCCTCCCCCCACCTCCCCAGGGGCCCCCCATTACCTCCCCAGGGCCCTCCCCCCACCTCTCCAGGGCGCCCCCCATCACCTCCTCAGGGCGCCTCCCCATTATCTCCCCAGGGCGCCTCCCCATTATCTCCCCAGGGCCCTCCCACCACCTCCCCATGGCCCTCCCCCCACCTCTCCAGGGCGCCCCCCATCACCTCCCCAGGGCGCCCCCCCATCACCTCCCCAGGGAGCTCCCCATTACCTCCTCAGGGCCCCCCAGATGCGTCCGACCCAAAGAACCCAGGCCTCCAGCGTGCTGGCCCCAACCAGGGGATCCCCTCTCCCAACATGCTCGCCCCGCTCCCCACCCCACTCCCCACCCCGCTCCCCACCCCGCTCCCCGCCCCAGGTTCCACCTGCAGGCCCCGCCCCCGGGTCCTCCCAAGGCCCCGCCCCCCTGCCACTCACACGCGCTCGCGCAGAGCCGCCTCCCGGGCCGCGCAGGCTCCGCCCTCCGCCTCGGCCGCGCGTGCGCGCCGCCGCTCCTCCTCCAGCTGCCGGGTGGTCTCGGCGGCCGCCGCCTCCTGCCGCGCCAGGGCCTCTGCGGGCGCAGCGGGCGGTCAGGGGACCCCGGGCTCCCGGGACATCAGCCTACCTTTGCTTTGTGTGAATGACGCTTGTGTGCTGTGTCCATGGCCTTTACGTGCCGCTGGACGTTCTAGGTTGGCGCTGCTTTTGGAAGTCGTTTAACATATTTGGTTGCATGTTGCGTTTTTGTGACTTGTGGCATGTCAGCTGCGTTTCTTTCACACGTGTTCGCCTTCGTTTGCATGTTGTTTGCGTGACGTGTCCACCTGTGCTTGTTTGCAACTAGAAAACTAGGCTCCTCCCACCTCTAGTCCCTCCCAGCACCCCTTCGCCCCAACAACACACCTGCCAGCGCCCCGTTCTCGGCGCCCATCTGAGTGCCCTGGGCCTTGGCCTCCTCCACCTCAGTCTTCAGTGTCTTCAGCTGGGTCTGAAGCCGGCTCTGCAGAGTGGAGGGGGCGTGAGGGGGGGGGGGGATCCTGGGAGGGCAGAGGGAGTGAATTGGCCCTGCTCTTTCTAGGGGAGACTGAGATGGCCCCGATGTTCCCTGAGCTTTGTTGGAATATCCTTTGGGGTCCTGTGACGTCTGGGATACCGCGAGGTGACAGCTGCCTGCCTGGAGGGAGGTCTCTGAGGTTCACCGCCTCCCAAGCGCTGGGGATGGGGAAAGGGTTTGGCTCTGCAGTCAGACTGTGGCTCCCATCCCAGCTGCCTCTAGACTTGCCAACGGGGGGTTAAAACCAACACCAGACCTTGTGGTTGTTGGCAGCGATGGCATTTGTGGGTGGTTTGTCACCCCTCGGAGACACTCTGCAAAGCAACTAGCCTGGCCTTCGAGCATCTTCCGTGGGGAGGCAACGTCAGAATCTGAACCGAGGGCAGGCGGCTCTTTGGCTGTCCCACATCCTTCCCTTAGGGAGGCAGGAAGGGGGCAAGGAGTCTGTTTTGAATTTTAAAATTCACACACAGCCCTACCCCTACTGGGCCCGGCACACAGAGGTACAGAGGTACGCAGTCCTTACTACCTGTGAATCGCTGGGACCTGGAGGATGGGCGTGGTTCCTGTGAGGCCGAGGGGTGGGAAAGGTTAAGAAAGTGTGAAGGAGGCGGCCAGAGAACAAGGGAGGAGGACCTGGCTGGCACCTCCTCCAAGACGCTAACTTTAGCCTCGTAATTACAGGTACATGAATGTCCTTTTCCCAAAATAGGGCCGGGACACTGGCTCGGAGGGAGGGGGCTGTGGAGTGGGCACTTGGGGGAGAGGATGAAACAGGCCCTCCGCAGGTGGGCTCTGGGCTGGGGGCTTCTCGACCCACCGCTGTTTCTCTGGCAAATGGCAGAGGACAGTGTGGCCTTCTGGGTCAGACGGTGTCGTACACGGTGACTGCCATAGCAGCAGCTGGGGTTATGGTGTGGTCCTCATTCTCAGAAAGGAATTGGGGAAATGCCTTGGCCGGTGTGGCTCAGTGGGGTGGGCGTCCCCCTGTGCACCGAGGGGTGGCTGGTTTTATTTCTGGTCAGGCTGGGGGCTCCATCTCTGATAGGGGGCATGCAGGAGACAGCCCGTGTTGGGCTCTCACACAATGTTTCTCTCTCCCTTCCTTTCTTTAAAAATCAGTAAAAAATCTTGCCAAAACCGGTTTGGCTCAGTGGTAGAGCGTCGGTCTGGGGACTGAAAGGTCCCAGGTTCGATTCCGGTCAAGGGCATGTACCTTGGTTGCGGGCACATCCCCTGGGTGGGGGGTGTGCTAGAGGCAGCTGGTTGATGTTTCTCTCTCATCGACGTTTCTAGCTCTCTATCACTCTCCCTTCCTCTCTGTAAAATATCAATAAAATATATTTTTTTAAAAAGGATAAGAGATCCTTCTATTTAAAAAAAAATCAGCAAAAAATCTTAAAAAAGAAAAGAAAAAAGAATTGGGGAAACTGCCCTAGGCGGTTTGGTTTAGTGGATAGAGAACCGGCCTGCAGACCAAAGGGTCCCGTGTTCGATTCCGGTCAAGGGTTGCAGGCTCCTCCCCGGCCTGGGGCCCTGGTGGGGGCTCTTGCAGGAGGCAACCAATCCATGTGTTTCTCTCACATGGATGTTTCTCTCTGTCTTCCCCTCTCTCTCCCACTCTCCCTGAAAACCAATGGGAAAAGATCCTTGGGTGAGGATTAACAACAACAACAAAAGAATTGGGGAAGCCAAGGCACAGGGGGCCTTCCTGTGGATGTATGCAGACCCCACCACCACGTTCTGGATGCCCCAACCCCCAACACTGCCCGCCTACCTGTCGGCCCTCACAGGCCCTGAGAGCCTCCTCCAGCTCCCGATGGACTCCCTGGGCCTGCTCCAGCTGCCTGGCCAGAGCGTCCTCGCGTAGCGCAGCCTCTGCCAGCTGTCGCTGCAGCTCCTGGACCTCCAGCGTGGGGTCCCCCCCGGGGGGCACCGTGGCGTTGACTCCCAGCTCCAGCTCCGGGCAGCGAGAGCCCCTGGAGGCGGCGGCCAGATTCCAGGCCAGCAGGGCCGCCCCGGCTGCAGCCGCAGCCAGGAACACGGCAGCCCCGCACAGGGCGAGCACTCGCCAAGCGTACCCCGGCTCCGGCCCAGGCTCGGCCATGCTGCTGTCCACGGCTCAGGCCTGGAGACGGCCACGGGCATTTAATTGGCACCTTAGGGCGCCAGGGACACCCACGGGTCCGCCCAGCCAGGGCGTGTTTCCCCAATCCTTTGGGAGGGGTTGGGTCCTCCCCAGGAGCCAGGCCAGGCCTGGGGTCCTGCACTCCAGCCCTGCCTCTGCCTCTGCGCGCTCTTCTCCGAGCTTCAGTTTGCCCCTCGGTGAAGTGGGAATGGCAGGAGGTCCTCAGTGACCATCACTTGGGCACATCCAGGCACAGGGGTCCTTGGCAAGGTGCCAGGGGCATATTGTCCCCATTCTGCTCCAGGAGAAACTGGGCTGTAAGACTAAAGGCTGCTCGACTGACCGGGTCAGGCTGTCGTAGGTTCTTTGACCAACTCTGAGGGCCCGAGGGAAGATATTATAGATGCGAGGGTGGACAGGCCACATCGCCCTGCTTATTCTCCACTGGGTCGCCAGGGGGCGATCTTACAACGTGAATCAGATCCAGGCCAGTTCACAAATCTCAGTATCAAATCTCCTCCTCCTCCACCCTCCTGCCTTCAGCTCCTCCTGGCCTTCATTTTTATTTTTATTTTAAAAATATATTTTATTGCTTTTTGTTTACAGAGAGGAAGGGAGAGGGATATAGAGCTAGAAACATCAATGAGAGAGAAACATCGACCAGCTGCCTCCTGCACTCCCCCCACCGGGGATGTGCCAGCAACCAATGTACATGCCCTTGACGGGAATCGAACCTGGGATCTTCCTCTATCCACTGAGCCAAACCGGTTTCGGCTTTTTTTCATTTTTAAAAATAAATTTTTATTGTTCAGATTATTACAATTGTTCCTCCCCCCCCCCCCCCCTATAGCTCCCCTCCACCTGGTTCCATCCACCCTCTGTCCTTACATGTCCCCCTCCCCCCACACTGTCCTCATCCATAGGTGTTCGATTTTTGTCCAGTTCCCCCCCCCCTTTCCCCCTGAGAATGGTCAGTCCACTCCCTTTCTATGCCCCTGATTCTATTATATTCACCAGTTTATTCTGTTCATCAGATTCCCCCCCCCCCTTGGTATTCACTAAAAGTTTTATTTCTTTAGGATTTCCTCCCAACCATTGTTTAAAAACCAAGTAACAGCAGAAACCGGTTTGGCTCGGTGGATAGAGCATCGGCCTGCGGACTGAAAGGTCCCGGGTTCGATTCCGGTCAAGGGCATGTACCTTAGTTGCGGGCACATCCCCAGTAGGGGGTGTGCAAGAGGCAGCTGATCGATGATTCTCTCTCATCCATGTTTCTAACTCTCTAGCCCTCTCTCTTCCTCTCTGTGAAAAATCAATAAAATATATTTAAAAAAATAAATCAACAATGGCATAAAAAAATCAACATTAAAAACCAAGTAACACACACCTGGGTGCGGGAGCTGGGAACGGCACCTCCCTCCTACTCACCACAGACAGCGGTGGGAAAGGGAGGAGGCTGGAGAGGTGGCTTACACGAGAGAGCAGCAGCAGGAATGGAAATGGTGACGTCACAGAGCCAGCTCCCTCCTCTCCGGGCCCTGGCTGGAGCTCCTATGGCGTGCGAGTGGGGAGGCAGAGGTAAAACCCACCCTGGGTCCTCCCCCTCCCCCACCCCTCCTCTCCCCCTCCCCTCCTCTCCCCCACCCCTCCTCTCCCTCACCCCTCCTCTCCCCCACCCCTCCCCTCCTCTCCCCCACTCCTTCTCTCCCCCTCCCCTCCTCTCCCCCTCCCCTCCTCTCCCCCACCCCTCCTCTCCCCCTCCCCTCCTCTCCCCCCTCCCCTCCTCTCCCCCACCCCTCCTCTCCCCCACCCCTCCTCTCCCCCCCCCCTCCCCTCCTCTCCCCCACTCCTTCTCTCCCCCTCCCCTCCTCTCCCCCTCCCCTCCTCTCCCCCACCCCTCCCCCCCCCCCCCCCTCCCCTCCCCCCTCCCCTCCTCTCCCCCACCCCTCCTCTCCCCCCCCCCTCCTCTCCCCCCCCCCTCCCCTCCTCTCCCCCACTCCTTCTCTCCCCCTCCCCTCCTCTCCCCCACCCCTCCTCTCCCCCTCCCCTCCTCTCCCCCACCCCTCCTCTCCCTCACCCCTTCTCAGACAGCCTCCCTGGGGGCTCAACCCATTTCTTCCCGCAGGAGACTGAGGCACACGGAGAGGAGGAAGTGGGAAGAGGAAGTCACAGGAGAGACAGGGAGATGGCATGAATGAAGGCAGAGGTGAGGTGTGGGCAAGGCCCCCACTTGGAGCCCCCTAGACACACACCACCCCCATGCCCATCCTGGGGACCGATGAGGAAGCCCCACCATCATGCGGCATTTGGGGAGATGAGGTGGGTATCAAGGCTGAGGGGCCCCAAGGTGGGCCAGGGTGTGGGCCTCGGTCAAACCCGTGCCAGTCACTGTGCTCCGAGTTGTATTCCAGCTTGGCACCCACGCACTTGACACCATCCAGCAGCATGGGTGTGCCTTATAACCGTGGTTTTGAACTCTGTATTCAGTCATTTGCTTTCCTCCATTTCTTTCATTTGTGACATGTTTCTTTGTCTCTGCATTTTGGCTGCTTCCCTGTGTTGATAGAGTGGCTTTGTGTGCTAGGTGTCCGATAGGGCCCAGTGGCTCAGCCTCGCCAGTTACCTGAGGTGGACACTCTTGGTGCTCCCCTTTGTGGGCTGTGTGCACACCAAGGTACATGCCCTTGACCGGAATCAAACCCAGGACCTTTCAGTCCACAGGTTGACGCTCTATCCACTGAGCCAAACCGGTCTTGGCCTCAGGTTCCTTTTGATGATCGCTCAGCTCTGCTGTACTTCAATGTGGTGTTTGACGGGTTCCCAGCTGCCTCCCCCATCAGACTGGATGAACCCCTAAAAGCAAAGCTCACATCTGCCTGGTTCCACTTTCCCAGCCCGGGGCCTGGCACACAGTGGTTGGGCAGGACATGTGAGCTGAGAGAACACTGTGAACTAGAATCTCCGTGTCCTGACTCCCCACCCTTTTATTCCTCATGAAGAAATCAGAGCCCAGAGAGGCCACGTCTCAGGCCGGGAGCACACAGCAGCCGCTGGTCACTGCCCCATTCCTGAGGGACTTGAAACCCCTGACTCAGTTGGCCGCAGCCAGCCAGGGAAGTGGGGCATTTTTAGGAAGGAGAAACATTTTTAATTGGGCCATTGTGTCGGGGTTTGTGGGGAGACATTGAACAGGTGAAATTCCTCTTCTTGGGCTTTGGGGCGGGCAACACTGTTTTTGGAACATTCTGGTAGCCCAGCTGGGAGTGGGAGTGGAGGCGGGGAGGAGGGAGAAGTGGTGAGTCATGTGGCCCCGTGGAAGGGTTTGCTTCCTGGAATCAAGGGAACATGTAGAAGGCAAGGGTTCAATCGCCTGAGCAGCTGAGAACCCTTGAGCAATTCTAGAAACTTCTCTGGACCCGTTTCCTCATTTGTTAGGCGAGGCTGGTGGGAGTGCACTGACTCAGGTGAGCTTTCTGAGCTCCCCCTGAGCCCTCCTGCAGGCTGGGGGTAGAGAAGGGGGGAGGGGCGCCCCAGCCTGGCTCTCTAGAGCAGAGGTTCTCACAGCACATGACTCTGACCCCCAGGGTCACTGATAGTTTCTCCAGGCAGCTCTTGTCACAACCTGGCCAGAGATACTGTGACCTCCTACCCATTCAGGGCAGCCTCCCCCTCCCGCCCCAGAGAGCACTCACCCCAGCTCAGATGTCCACAGCGCAGAGGTGGAGAAACCCTGCCCTAGAGTGTCAGAGTGAGGCAGGAAGGAAATTGACAAAGTCCATGCACAGAGACAGGGTCTGGGAGGTGGGGAGGTGTGAGCAGGGGAGGGGAGGGGACAAAAAAGCAGGGGAGCCTGTGTCAGGAAAGGTGTTTGGGGGTCCCTGGGTGGACAGCAGGGGCCTTAGAGGGGGATTTATTGACACCTCATTGGGGACTGCAGGATCTGAGGGCCGTGTAGAATTTTGACCAGACACAAGGGTCCTGACCCCAATGCCATGCACAGGAAGTCTCATGGACAATAGTCAGGATCTCAGTAGAAGATGGAGGAAGTAAGATAACACAGGAAGGAATTGGGGGCATGTGAGGATCCAAGAGAGTGGGTGAAGGGTCCATCAGGATGATGGCCCTCCACTCTGGAGAAGCAGACTCCCTGGAGGCAGGGATCTTAGGATGCATAAGAATTTGGGGGACAGAGGAGAGAGGTACATGGTGACAAATGCCCTGCCTGGGTGTGTCTGCAGATCCAGGTCTGAATCCCAGCCCCACACTTTCTGCCTTTATTTTTTTAATTGATTATTCTTTGTCAGATCCCGCCCATTGTCCTCATATTGAGGGATTGGTAGCTGAAGCAACATCCACCTGTCAATCTTATGTAACTTCTTGCTGATTGGCTATTATTGGAATTGCCTGCCTCTATGGGTAGATCCCAAAGTCTTAATAAAAGGGATAGCGAGGCCAGAGAGGTGTGCAGTTCTCCCAGCAGAGTGGGCTCCTGCCTGGCCCCCAATACCGCCAAATTAATATATTTTCTAGCCTCTTTCATTTGTGTGTGGCCTCCTCCAGGATCTGCACCCTGAACTTGAACCCTGAACCATGCGGGTCGTGAAAGGGTTTCCCACGATTCTTTATATTGATTGATTGATTGATTTTAGGGAGTGAGGGAGAGAAACATGATTTGGTTGTCTCAGTTATTTATGCACTCATTGACTGATTCTTGTCTGTGCCCTTACTGAGGATTGAATCGTGACCTTGACTTACCGGAAGGACACTACAACCACCTGAGCTACCCAGCCAGGGCTTAACTGAGTTTTAGAGACAGAGGAAGAAGAGGGGAAGGGACAGGGAAAGAGAGGGAAGCATCTACGTGAGACCAAAACATTGATTGGCAGGATCTTGCATGCCCCCTGGCCGGGAAGGAGCCTGCAACCCGGGCATGAGACTTGCCCAGGAATTGAACTGGCAACCTTTTGGTGCTTGGGAAGATGCACAACCACCTGAGCCACACCCAGCGGGGCCAGCCCTGCACTTTCCAGGGGAGGGGATGGGGAACCAGACAGGGAGTCCTTCTCCTCACAGCCTCGGTTTCCATGGAAAGGGATGGGGAGCAGGAGCCTCAGGAGACAGTGAGGAGAGAAGACTAGAATGCTGAGCACTGAGGAGGCACTGATGGGGCTGGGGGAAGGGTGGAGAGTCCTTTAGGATGAATCCATCGGAGAAGAGGGCTGTGTAGGCAGTGGGGTGGGTGGTAACTGCCCAACCCTGTGGGTTTCTGGGAATATTCCGGAGCAAGGAAGGCTGGGTGTAGACATCCAGGGGTCCCAGATGCTTGGGACGGACACAGTGATCCTCCAGGAAGTACAGAGTAAGTTCGTTCCCCCAAAAGGGGATGCTTACTTTGTGGAACCCAAAGACCCAGAAAAAGTTCCCTTCCAGAAACCATGACAGCAAAGGACAGATGCCCCCTCCCACTTCATGACCTGCCCAGATTGAAGGTGGGGGGAGGGGACAGCATTGGGCCAACTTCCATGCTTTCCATGACCCACCCCCTGCCACCTGGCCTCCCCCATCCGTCCCCTCCCCACAGCAGTGTTGGCCCTCAGGCCTGGCCAGGTCAGGGAACCCAGAGGCAAACAGGCGAGTCCAGGTGGTGGCCTAAGAGACAAGAAGGCCGAGTCAGGGCGGGATTGAGGCAACAGAACTCGCCCCAACCCCTCCATGAGCCTCACCCCACTCCTGCCTGGACCCTCCCTCTGCCACCCACAACGGGTGGGACTGGGTACCTGTCACTCCTCGAGTCAATTATTACGCAGACAAGGGGTTGAATGGTATCTGAAAATTTATTATAATAATACCGGCCAAGTGAGAGAGAGTGCCTTAGGACCAGGTTGTTATCTTTCCAAGATGAGAGGAGACTCAGAGAAGGAGCAGGGACAGCATTCTGAGGTTCATCCCCTTGGCCCTGGGCTCAGCCAGGTTAGAATGGCTTTGCCTGATCAGAAGAGAACATGGCGGTTAGCAGACAGGAATAACAGGATGGCATAGCGGGTCCCCACTGCTCTATTTCTGCCCCAACAGCTCCTCACTGAGACTCCTCCCCCTCCCTCCCTCCTAAAGGCCTCTCCTCGGTGCCCAGCCTCCTCCCCCAGGCAGGCCTTCACCCAGGCCCTGACTGTCCTAGCTCCTCCCATCCCCCTCCAGCCCCCTCCTCACCTGCAGGCTTCCTGGGACCTCAGGCCAGCAGGGCCTGGAGGCTCAGGGTCAGGAGCACAGGGGTCACGGAGAGACGGAGGCTGATCCCGGAGTTGGGGGGGCACTTGGCAGAGACCAAGGCCTCCTTCTCTTGTCTGAGGGGAAGATGGGACAATCAGCAGGCTGCCAGGCCTGGCTAAACTGGTGCTGGGCTCCAAGGCCCTCCACATCTGCTCTCCTTCCTCACCAATCACTGGGTTGGAGAGGGCCTGATGGTTCCCAGAGTTGGGTGGCTGGAGGGCCAAGGCTGGGACTCCAAGTTTGTCCCCAGGGCAAGGGGACTTTTCAGAGCCGAGGGGACCCTAGGTCTTGGGGTTGGAAGGTGGAAGGGGTGTGGCCTGGGGTGGTGGGTGTTCTGACCTTAGTTGTTTCACCTCCTCATATTTCTCCTGCAGCTCCGTGGATGTTTTCTGCAGCTCCTCGGATTTCTTATCTAGATCTGCGGATTTGTCCTGCAGCGACTGATTCAATGACTTGATCTGCTCTAAGGAGGGATAGAGAGTGTATGGCCACCATAGCCATGCCCCTCAATTGGCCCCACCTCCGGACAGGACCCCGCCTCTAGCCTGCCTTCATTTGGCCAGTGCACCTTGGAAGTCAGGCATGCCTGCCCCTTCCTACTCCCACTGGACTGGGTCCTGTCCCTCTCACCGGACCCCAATCCCAAGGCCCTCCCCTTCCCTCCTCTTCACACCTGATCTGCTCCTGCAAACTCCCTACTGGAGTCAGGCCTGTGTTTTCCTCACCTTGAAGCTTCTGCACCAGCTCCTGTTGCTTGCGGCCCCCAGCCTTCTCCTCTTCCAGGGAAATCTTCAGGGTCTCCTGGGATGCCATGGAGGAGGGAGGGTGTTGGAAACTGGGGCTCTTAGTCCTGGTGGGGTTGGCTGCTGTCCCTGGGCCCTGCCCCCTCCCCAGGCCCAAACCCCTTTCAGGATTCCTTCCAACCCTCTCTGAACCTGTCTCCACCCTGCAGAATGGCCACAGCCTCCCACCCTCCCAGGGAGTGTTCCTCAAAATGGGAATTTTGCCGAAACCGGTTTGGCTCAGTGGATTGAGTGTCAGCCTGTGGACTGAAAGGTCCTGGGTTCAATTCCCGTGAAGAGCATGTACCTGGGTTGTGGGCACATCCCCAGTAGGAGGTGTGCAAGAGGCAGCTGATCGATGATTCTCTCTCATCAGTGTTTCTAAGTCTCTATCCCTCTCCTTTCCTCTCTGTAAAAAAATCAATAAAATATATATTTAAAAAAATGGAAATTTCAAGCACCCTGCACTCCCCACTCCTGCACACACAGGAAATTGGAGGCTCTCTTGGCACAGGAGAGATTTCCAGATCTTCTGTGCAATTGTCCAAGAAGAGTTGGAGTCCCCTCAAGCCCAGAACACATGGGATTTCTGAACCCACGTTCTATGTCCACTGGGAGTTTCAAGGACCCCATATCGAGACCCCAGTTAAAATGCTGCCTCTTAGGGATGCAGTGGAAGTATCAAGGGCCCCTGCCTTGCTCTGGCCGGTAGCTCAGTTGTTAAGATTGTTATGCCAATATGACAAGGTTGTGGGCTCAATCCCTGGTCAGGGCGCATACTGAGAATCAACCAATGAGTGCATCAATAAGTGGGACAACAAATCAATGTTTCTTTCACTCTTTTTCTTCCTCTCTCTAAAATAAATGAATAAAAATAAAAATAAAGAGAGATGCAAATCAAAAGAATAATGCGGTACCATCTCACACCTGTCAGAATGGCCAAGATCAACAAATCAACAAACGACAAGTGTTGGCGAGGTTGGGGAGAAAAAGGAACCCTCATGCATTGCTGGTGGGAATGCAGACTGGTGCAACCACTGTGGAGAACAGTATGGAGTTTCCTCAAAAACTGAAAATGGAACTCCTATTTGACCCAGTGATCCCACTCCTAGGATGATATCCCAAGAAACTAGAAACACCAATCAGAAAGGATATATGCACCCCTACGTTCATAGCAGCACAATCTACAATAGCTAGAATCTAGAAACAGCCTAGGTGCCCGTCAGCAGATGATTGGATAAAAAAACCACGGTACATCTACCCAATGGAATACTATGCTGCCATAAAAAAAGGAATTCGCATCATTTGCAGCAACCTGGATGGAATTGGAGAACATCATGCTGAGTGAAATAAGCCAGTCAATGAAAGAGAAACACCACATGACCTCACTCATTTATGGATAATAAAGAACATTATAAACTGATGAACCAAAAGTTAGATAAAGAGACAGTAAAGCAACAAGCAGATTGTCAAATTACAGCGGGGAGGATAAGGAGATCTGGGGGAGATAAGAGATCAACCGAAGGACTTGTATACATGCATATAAGTACAACCAATGGACACAAAACTATGTGGAGAGAGGGCATGTATGGGAGGGGGGACAAAGGTAAGATATGTACACAGATAATAATTTAATAAAAATAAAAATAAAAAAATAAAGAAAGAAGCCCCCTGCCTTCTTCGGAGTCGGGTGGGGTCCCCATCCCCACCCCAGAGGGGATTTCTGCTTCCCTGTGACTGTGCCCGGGGGGAGTCCCCAGCCGCCCTAGACCAGTGTCCTGGAGTTTGCAGATTCATCCACATGTGACTGGGGATACTGAGGCCCCTTATTGGGTGCTCTGGAGTCCCCCTCTGGCTCCCCAAACCCTGGTGGGGAAATCCAGGCTCCCCATGGAGGGGCCTATGGGCAGGTTCAAGGTCTATCTCCATCTCCAGCTGGACCTGGGGTCCCCCAGCACCTGGACCCTGGGATCCTCCCAAGCACAGGGCCTCTCTAGGGGGGGCAGTCACTTACCACAGTCTGGTTACAAGTGGCAGCTTGGGCCTCAGTGCCCCGCAAGGCATCCTGGGCCTGGGTCAGCTCCTGCTCCAGGAAGTGGGTGATGTTTCGACACTCCTGCTCAGCTCGGAGGCCATCCTTGCAAGCTGGGCTATTGGCCTTGGCAGCGAGAACGCCGACCGCCACAAACAGACCCACCACCAGTAGGCCCAGCAGGACCCCCACAATCCCCACCCGCCCTGGCAGCTTGCGGTCCTCCAGCTTCTTGGAGTAATCATCCATGGCCACAGGGGAGTAGCGGCAAGAAGTGGGTTCCATTGAGAGGGATTCGTGGGATCAGGGGAGGGAGTTTGGAAAGAAACCTAGAACTTTTATACTTGCTGGGACTGCCCCCTTATTACCATAGGATCTATGCTGACCAATGAAAACTTGCAAAACCGGGCATCTGCAGGAAAAGGACAGTGTATCTTTCACTTTCATTTCCCAGAAATGAGGTGCGTTGTTGCTGCTACATTATTGGCTTGGTCCTTGTGGGCTGGCTGCTGGCTTGTGAGCTCCTGTGGGAGAGGACACCCCATCGCAAGGCCCTGCCCTTCTCCTGTGTCCCTGAAGGGGACAGAGGCAGTGACCGGAAGCCTAGGGCATGCCAGCCTTGAGTGCCTGTGGACTGTGACCTGAAGAGGCAGAGCCATCATTGGTCTAGTCCCCAGCTGGGGAAACTGAGGCTGAGAGGTGAGTGGTGGGCTGGGAGTGGGCAGGGCCGGGGACTCGCCCAAGAGGCTGGCGTTGGTGTCACTCTCCGCAGTGACCCAGCAGGAGCTCCCTGAGCATCCCTGCTGCTGTCTCAGGGGACCCTGGGGCCACGGAGGCTGTCGGAGGAGGAATATCCTTCTGCCTGGACCGCTTAAAGCCACTCAGCAGCCACAGGACCAGGATGGGGATGCCCTTGCTGAGGAGTCCCCACGGAGCTTGTGCAGCCCCTGAGCAGGCGCCTCTCTCCCAGCCCAGGACCCAGGGGCAAGGACACAGCCCTGGGGGAAGCGGAGCTGTGTGAGCTGCGCTGTGCTGGCCTCCACACCACAGGGCCAACGTGGGACCTGCACTGCGGGTCGGAGGCCAAGGCTGTGAGTGAGCACCCTGCCTCCCTGTGGGACTCTGGGCAAGCAATGCCCCCTCTGCCTCAGTTTCCACTGTGAAATGGGGGTAATGATAATAGCAACATTTTTTGTGCTCCCCTAATTTTGCCACCGAGGCCAGTGCCTCCCTCCCCTCGCACTAGTCCTGGCCCTGCAAACAGAAAGTGTGGGTTTTCCCTATAAACCGGTGATGCCACCATTCTTCTGTTCGCTCAGGTTAAGGTCCAAGCACTTGTGACCAAGTCTGATTGGCAGCGAGGGCGGGGAATCTCAGGGAAGTGAGGAGAGGGAAGAGGCGGGCGTTGTGATCTCTGATGAGGAAGTTGATGATGCTCCCATGCCATGGGACCCCTTCATACCAGGAAAAGCAAAGCAGAGTGTGGGGGTGGAAAGCACACTTTCCTTCCACTTTCTAGTGGTTCTGGCTAGACTCCTAATCCATGTAACACAGACAGGGGAACAGGCACCAACAGCCAGCTTGCTTGTAGGTGACATGTCATCACACATGACAGCTTCATTACATGTCTGTATTGTGCCATGGGAGCCCCAGGGCAGCGGGGCATTGGGGGCCTGGTGCCATTGGAGGTACAGAGAGGGGGCCCATGTGCCTGCACTGGGCAAGGGAGGTCCGCTGGGCCACCTGGAACCTGGGACTTGGGTCCAAAGGGCCTCGCTCGTGTCCTCTCCGTCCTCCCCTCCTGGTTCACGTTGAACCGCAGAGGCCTGTGATGGCTCCCCCTGGAGCAGGTCCTCCTCTGAATCCCTTTCAGGCCGATAGGGAGAGGGGCAGGGTTCTCCCTGAGGCCGCTGTTTCTTGAAAGCAACAGCTTAAAACAGGCAGGATCTCCAAAGGCGTGTTTGGGGTGGGACCCTGTGCTCCCCTCAACAGGAACAACAACCCCCGCCAGCAGTGTTTCCCCAGGTTTAGGGAATGTTTGTGCTAATGTACTCACACCTCGCTTCCATTAAAAAAATATTTTATTGATTTTTTTACAAACAGAAAGGGGAGAGGGATATAGAGTGAGAAACATCTATCAGCTTCCTCCTGCACACCTCTTTCTGGGGATGTGCGCGCCACCAAGGTACAGGCCCTTGACCGGAATCAAACATGGGACTCTTCAGTCCTCAGGGCGACACTCTATCCACTGAGCCAAACTGGTTAGGGCTAGCTTCTATTATATTTTTAAATATATTTTTTATTGATTTCAGAGAGGAAAGGAGAGGGAAAGAGAGACAGAAACATCAATGATGAATGAGAAGCATTGATTGGCTTCCTGCTGCACATCTACTACTGGGGGTCAAGCCCACAACAGGAGCATGTGCCCTTGACTGGAATCAAACCTCACTTCAGTCTGCAGACCAGTGAGCTATCCCCAGTGCCAAACCAGCTAGGGCTACACTTAGCTTATTTTTATTTTTTAAAATAATAATTGTTCCTATTGTTACAGATGTTCCTTTTTCCCCCCTCCATAGTTCCCCCTCCACCTAGTTCCCACCCCACTCCAGGCCTTTCCATTACCCCTGCTCCCCCCTCACCCCCACCCCGCCCTGTTCCATAGGTGAAAGCTCTTTGTCCAATATCTTCCTGCATCCTGGACATCCTCTTCCCCCAGAGAATTGTCAGTTTGCTCCCTTTCCAAGCCCCTGATTCTATTACATTCACCACTCTGTTTGTTCATCAGGTATTTTTTATACATTTTATTTTTAGGTTCACATTGTTGTCACTTTGTTGTTCATAATTTTTTATCTTTACCTTTTTTCTTCTTCCTCTTCTTAAAGAATACCCATCAGCATTTCATGTAATACTGTTTTGTTGGTGATGAACCCATTTAGCTTTTTCTTGTCTGTGAAGCTCTTTATCTGACCTTCAATTCTGAATGATAACTTTTCTGGGTAGAGTACTCTTGGTTGTAGGTTCTTGCTATGCGTCACTTTGTATATTTCTTGCCACTCCCTCCTAGCCTGCACAGTTTCTGTGGATAAATCAACTAACAGTGGTATAGGTACTCCCTTGTAGGTAACTAACTGTTTTTCTCTTGCTGCTTTTAAGATTTTCTCTTTGTCTTTTGCCCCTGGCATTTTAATTATGATTTGTCTTGGTGCGGTTCTCTTTGTATTCCTCTTGATTGAGGCTCTTGGTGACTCCTGGACTTGTAAGTCTATTTCTTTCACCAGGTGGGGGAAGTTTTTGGTCATTATTTCTTCAAATAAGTTTCAATATCTTTCTCTCTATCTTCTTCTGGCACCCCCATAATTTGGATGTTGGTATGTTTGAAATTGTCCCAGAGTCTCCTTACACTATCTTCATATTTTTGGATTCTTTTTTCTTTTTGTTTTTCTAGTTGGGTGTTTTTTGTTTCTTTGTATTTCAAATCTTTGACTTGATTTTTGGGATCCTCTAGTGTGCTGTCAGATCTCTGTATTTTTTATTTTTTATTTTTTTTATTTCAGTCAGTGTATGCTTAATTTCTGATTGGTCCTTTATCATAGCCTTGAGGGTCTCACTAAATTTCTCAGAGGTTTCTAGAAGATTCTTGAGTAACCTTATAACCATGGTTTTGAACTTTATATCCAGCATTTTGCTCTTATCCATTTCTTTCATTTGTGATTTGATTCTTTGTCTCCTCATTTTGGCTGTTTCCCTATGTTTTCCCTATGTACTAGCTAGTTGCTAAGTCTCCTTGAGTTGATTGAGTGATCTCATGTGGTAGGTGTTCTATAGGGCCCAGTGGCTCAGCCTCTCTAGTCACCTGAAGTGGGTGATTTTGGTGCACCCCTTTGTGGGCTGTGTGCACAGTCTTGTTGTAGTTAACTCTCGATTGTTGTTGGTATCACTGAGAGGAATTGACCTCCAGGTCAATTGGCCGTGATGACCATCTATGTCTACACTGGAAGATCTGTTGTGCAGGAAACACCCTTTTGGGGCAGGACTTGTTTTCAGTGGGTCTTTGGTGCTCACAAAGTCTGCCCCTTGATTGTGTCTCTTATGGATGTGAAGCATTGTAATTCGGTATGGTGTCACTGTGACGACTGGGTACACTGGCTCTTGGATCTCCAAGGAGGTGCAAGGTCAGCCATTGTGTGGGGCCACCCAACAGGAGCTAGAGAGACATCTGCAGATCCCTTCTCTTTGTATGGGGTTTGGACAAGGCACAGCTGTGAAGCAAGGCAGGCTGTTGCTGCTGGGCCTTGGTCCTTCTTTTGGAAGCTCTGGGGCTCTCTGATCCAGCTGCAGTATGACAGGTTTTAGAAGGAGAAAGCACAAGGCATTCATTTGCAAAAGCTGATGCACTCAGCTTGGGTGGGGTTGTCAATAGGGTGGGGTGGGGTCCCTGGGAATCACCAGGGCAGAGCAAACAGCAATGGCTGCCAGTCAGCCCTGCACCTGAGAGGTCCCAGGGTCTCTGTGTCTCGCACCCCCGTGCAGGAGCAATAATCTCTGCGAGCACCTTTGAAAGCCGCACTCATGTTCTGATGCCAGACACTCTAGTTTCTCCCCGAATGTGTCTGTGTCCCCCAGAGTCTCGCCCAGAACTGGAGTTCACACCAAGCGGGAGCTTATATCTCCCTCCCGATTAAATTTGCAGCTCATCCAGGTTGAATGGCACCATTAGGTGGGCAAAGGATGGCTGTATACCAGCTTTTCCTGAGCCTTCTGTGAGCACAGTAAGCGCTGCTGGGGAAGGGATAGGTACAATCTTAGTGGGGCATAGGGACTTGGTGTGGGACAGAAAATGTAATGTCTTACCTGGGGGAGGGAATGTTCCACCTGTCCTAGCCAATCAGCTAGAGCCATTTGCCCATCAATGGAGGTCGATAGTGTTTCAACTTGAGTTTTAGTTAATGGAAGGCGAATGATATCCAGATAGAGTCCTGCGAGTTTTGTACAGCGCTGTCTCCCACCGCGAATCAAAGAGCAAACCAATGCTAGGTAAGGGGAGAAGGTTTTGGAGGGAGTATGAGAGCAAAACAGCCGTTCAATGCACCCCAGCTCAGGTACCACTTGTCCCATAAGTTCCGTAGGTGAGTGCCTGGTGGAAAATAACATTAGTTTGAAGACATCACTGGGGAGAGATTCTAGTCAAATATCGTGTGCTGAGTGCATCCTCCACCAAGCGGCGTTCTTTTACCCCTTCTGGGGACAACTAACCAGGGGCATTTAAGGCTGGATCCCCTTTTAGGATGTTAAACAGGTTTTACTTATTTTTTATTTAATAAATCTTCTTTTGCTCAGATTATTACAATTGTTT